TTCTGTGTGGTCGTGGTATTTCACCGGACGAGCCGGACCAATTCGTGCGAAGATGTAAAAGCGGGCTCTACCACCATTTGCCTTTCGAAAAGTGTTCGTGGCTAATTTAACCATTTTATTTGGCGGCAATATTATACCATCGATTATATTTCTTGTAACATCAATTTGGATTGACTATCAGATCAGTGTAGTTACCTACCTATTCACAACTGCGCGTCAGGTAGCAATGAACAGAAATAAGTAGGCAAGCGTACCTAGACATATTCTCTGTTTTAAATACTATCAGTTGGTTATTAAAATAATGAAAGTGATAAAAGAAAATTAATTACAAATAATTCAATTGAATAAAGCCAAAAACACTTTCCGAAAGGCAAGTTATCATAGTTATATCTGTTAATCAATACAATTTTATATAAAAAAATATATCTCATCTAGTTATCAGATGAGTAAAGCTTGATCTCTCACGGTCTCCTTTATTGTGTATTAAAACAAAACATTCTACTAAATGACGAAATTACACGGAAATTAAACTTTCAAATATACGTGAGAACTAAGAGGATACCTAACTATTTAAATTTGTAGTCATTTTTTCTCTTATGCGTCAATCGCACAAGAAATGACATTCAACATTAGTCCTTCTTATATATATAAGTCATTACATCTAAATTGGTCAAATTATAAACTAAGCTAGCTGTCGATTCCGTTGCGCGGGATAAAAAAAAACATAATTAGTAGCCTATGTATTCTTTCAGACTATGTTCTATATCTATGGAAAATTTCATCGAGATCCGTTCAGCCGAAATACCTTTAAACAAACATCCATCTAAACATTCGCATTTATAATATTAGTAATATTTAACGCTTTCTTTGTTAAGTTTCTCTGTAAAGTATCTATAATTATATACTAGACTTATAGAGTATATACAGATATTATTTATCTTAAAAAATGTGATTATTCTAGTTACGAAATAGCATTGTGTTATTTAACTTTGTTGTGTTATTATATAAAAACAGCATCAAACGATGCAATCGTGTATACTTGCATGTTATCAATGATAATGCATAATTATATGATTCATCTTCTAGAATTTTTTAATTATACAATGACTTCAACTTTAGGTATTTTGAATAATTTATAGCTTTTTTTAATTTTCCGTAATGTTATTGAATTTGTTTTGTTTAAATTTAATCAAACCAATTTAAAAGAAAAAGATCGTACACCTTCCTCCAAAGATTGGTAACGCATCTGCGATTACCTGGTGTTATAAATGTCCATGGACAGCAGATCAATTAATCTTAAGCGACGTGCTCTTTGGGCCTTTCTCTGTTAGAAAAAAGAACGTACAAACATTTTCAAGCTAGATCTACACAGGGGGTGTAACTCAGTGGTAGAGTGTCTGCTTCGCATGCTGAAAGTCCTGGGTTCAAATCCCAGCACCTCCAAAGTAAAAATTTTACAATTTTGTTTGATTTTATTTTGAATCATTTTTGTCATTTAATATCATATTTATGACTTAAAATTTTATTGCCAATTCACATGTTGTATTAAGATAATTTTGTTAAATTTTCTGTCTTTTTCTCACTTATGCAAAGTCGGACCCCATCAGTAACTTCAAACATCACTCCCATGTTAAAAACGTTATTCTTCACGTTATCGATACATCTCTTCCTAACTCTACCCGTATCGGTACACAAAGGTTGAGGGCAACATTTTAATTATGCCCACTTATTATTGCTGATCTAGTTTATAAATATTTTGAAATAAATTAAGTTTGAAAATTTTTAAAACCTAATTTTCATTTTAGGCTATGCATTAATAAAACCATTTCTGTAAAAATTATTATGGAATGCTTCATTGTACGCCCTACTTATTGATTACTACCGAACTAAATGCGTTGTTAACGCCCCTAATTTACCTCACATTGTTCATTTACTTCTCTAATAGATGGCGCTGTAACGGAACTTATATTGAGTTTTGTCAAACTCTGAATAGCACTGTGACAGAATGTATCACTTAAACTCTATCAAACTATAGATGGCGCCGTGGCAAATTTTTTACCCACCACTTAACTGCCGCCTAGAGAATAGAAAAATGTAAAAGAGATATAAAAACTGTTGTAAATAACACCATCTTAATGGTAGCTACTAACTAGCTGAAATTTACTGACGATTCCCATGCTGTCTGGTGTCAGCTGTACACAGACCGCGAATGGCAGTAAGCCGATGTCCATAAATTACGTATTTTATTTAACAATGAAACTCAATTTCTTTATACAAGGTTTTAATGAAAAATCAACTAAACGTATAAATCTTATTTATACTTATAATTAACAAGTAAATGATTAAATATTTACATACAAGTCGGGAACTCTGTATACATAGCAGAATCCCTTAAAATTGCACTAACAAAAATATAGGGTACATGTTTTTGATAGCATTAAGAAACTTATTGTATTTGCTGCAACAATTTAAACATGTGATTGTTTCGAGAAATATTTTAAAAGAAAAAAAAATAATAAATATTTTCATACAAAAATTAAAAGGTACTTAGGTACTTAGTCAAATATACATACAATGACAACATTTCCTTCTAAAATTTACCTAATACATTGTAGTGTAATAAAGTTTAAATATGACTAAGTACTTTGCTTATTTCCTTTCTAAATATTACTTTAGTTTTTCTTCTGTATTATTCCAAGTTACAAATGTCTTATATATGCACCGTGTATATTGTTATTTATCACCCTTAACTTAGGGTAGGCTCCGAGCCCCTCGGTAGGGACGTATAGTGAGCTGATGATGAATATCTTTATTTTTTAGAATGACAAGAAGAAAACATGTAAACAAAATTATTATTACAATGTTTAAAATATCACTTAAAAAAACTATATTAATTAATAACAATTGAATTTATTTTAATACACTAAATAGTTCATGATGGTAACATTTTGAAAAGGTTTTTATAAAATCAAATTGATAGAAAAAAAACTCCGAGGTATTAAAAAAGTCACATATTACTAACATTAAAAATCAGGGTTCAAATATTTAAAATAAGAGTAATTAATTGGCACATTGTCATAAGATAAAAATGTAATATTGTCGATGTAATTTTTACCATTAAAAAACAAATGAGAAGTTTTCAAAATTTAAACGTGATTATTAAATTAAAAATAATATCATTTGAACCCTGTTACAAAATAGTAAGCATCATGTATACGTTTTACAGTAAATACAGTCTTGGTACGCCGTGGTCATAATCTTACCTAATACATAAATAAATGTATAGTTTATTCCAATCTAAAATCGATTTGCAAATTTTCATAAATTTCAATATTTGCTGAATTTTTTTTTAACAATAGCAATTTTTAGTATATGTATAATTGCCGATTTTTTTTGTAAGTGAAGTTTGTTTACTTTTGTTTTTTGATTGGAATTAACTATTGATAACTCCTCGTTATAGCTACTTGCTACGGCGCTACTGGAATACACTGTCCTACAAAACGTCTAGCTTGCCTCTTCTGACTCAGCAACGTTGAAACAGTTATGTAAAGTTAAAATCCATAATCTTGAGAAAACTAATAAGTTTTCTCAAAGAGATATGAGAAAACTTATTTTGATTGTGTAGCAATAGAAATACACTACATTGACTAGAATTTCGCTTCGAGTATAATGAAAAAAACAGAAAAAAAACACGTTTTTATGACACTTTGATATTTTCCCACAATGATCCTTAATTTGAACCATTTAACATTTCAACGTTGCTAAGTTGTCGTAGCCTACTAAACTAACTATTGACTAACACTACAATTTTAAATGGAAGATAATAAAGTGGCCTCGCCTACACAAACTATAACAAGACATTACGCTACTTCCACATCATTAGTAACTACGTTAAGAAACTGGAGGGAATTAAGAAAATTATAAATGGAAGAACTAATAACAGATCAAAAATAAATTCGTTTCATGCCCGTTTTCATACCAGTGTTCAGTAAAGATTTAAAAAAGTTCAATTAAATAAATATATACTAATCATATACAGATAATTGATGTTATCTGAATGTGATTAGAAAAATGTATATAAATATGTAGCTTTATTTTGGTAAAAGTTTTCTAATAATAATTGGTATCAGTTTTTTTTTTAACCATAACTATATAAATATTTAATCCACTATATTACAGTGGCAGAGCGTCGATGGAACAGATGTCAAGCACTTGACTTGCAATCTGCAGGTCCTGGGTTCGAATCCTGCCATGTACCAATGTGTTTTTCGATTTCCGATTTACATATGTACATTTATCCGACGTTCTTACGGTGAAGGAAAACATCGTGATGCAACCTGCACATATCTGAGAAGAAATTGGCACTTGGCCAGCGTTGTTGACGGTGGGGACGTATAGTGAGCTGGTGATGATGATGATATTACAGTGGATATACTGCAAACCAGAAATAAAGTGATTGATTGGGCACAAAACGAATACAACAAAGTTAACCTACGAAGATATGTAAACGAAACATTCAATCCTTACTAAAGTGTCAAGGACGGGAAGGGGAACGTGGTTACATGTTACAAGGAGTCGAGCCTGGTTCTCTGTACGGCCAGCAGCGCGGACTGCTGCTGCAAGCTCGCCCGCAGTCCCTGCAGCGTTTGCAGCACCTGCAGTAAACATATTAATAAACTATCTGCATTACTGCTTATCACTCGAGACTATGGCAATCATTCATCTCAGTTTAAATTACTATAATATAACATGAGAATTTGTCGTTAAATACAATTTCCATGTTATAGACTTCTTAATGTAACATCAAATCAAATAAATATGTCTATGACCAAATTAATGTTCCTTCCGAAAATTAAACATACCTCATCCCTGGCATATGCTTTCCGCTTAGGAGGTTCGGAGTGCGGTCTGTCTGTGGCGAGGGCGTGTGCGGGCGGGCATGGCGGGCAGGGCGGGGGCGCTGCGAGGGGCGAACGTCGCGGGGCGGGGGCGCCGCGCCGGGCTGCCTCCGGGGAGTTGGCGCGGATGAAATTAGTGACGTGCGTGCGCTCCGGGCTGCGCCGCGGCGCCTCCGACTGCCGCGCAACGGGACAAAACATGCTACAGTACTAACACTAGCAAAACCTAACTAACTAACCTAACAAACAGACTTGAAAGGAGAACAAATAAGGAAGTCCACGCTAATATTCCTAACATTGGATTAGTTTATCTATATTAGTCTAGCATCTATTAGAAATACGGTTATGAGAACTTGCTGAAACTCGCATATTGAGTAGGAACTTAAACCTGGTAATCTAGGGGCAAAACATTGTAACCCAAAAACCTAACCACGACCATGCTTCAAGATGCCTACGACGAAAACACTTGTTTGTGATACACAGCTATTACTTACCTTTAGCATTTATACTTGGACCCATACTTAACACGCTTAAATTAAAAAAAAAATCATCTTACTAACCTCAGTAGCTCTCAGCTCTCTGATGCGTGGATTGTGCGGCGGTTCGAGTGGAGCTCGAGAGACGGTAACCAGTAGTTTATCCGCCTCACGTATAAGCTCTCGATACTTCCTCTCAGCTTCTCTGTCAGCTTCCATCAGAGGATCCCGCTCCCGCACCGGTGGCGCCGGAGGGGCGGGGTTCCGGCGTCGAGTGCGAGGTGGCGTTGCGCCTGGAAATAAAACAATCATTAAGTAAAATAATATTATGTGTTCACTACAATTGTATTACCCATTTACTTCGTTCCTTTGCTATCATTATCTGGTAGCTATTAAAGTTAGCAGTTTTTCGACAAAAGTATCTCAAAATGTAAAGCGTTGTGAGAGGTAATTTAAAGGAGATATTTCACTTCCTTTTGCTGCGAATTACATATTAATGTAATAATATATGTATAATAAATGATGAAGATCGCATATTATATAGGTACATTAATAAGTGACCTTCATCATTTGAGTTATTTACTGAGATTCGATTAATAAACCTCTGTTTCCTACCTGCTGAACGTGGCGGTCTACGCGGCGGTCTCCTCCGTCTAGCACGTCGTCTGCCGGGCGTGACGTCACAGTCTGTGTCGTCTTCGTCGCCACCGTCCAGACCAGTATCGCCATCGGAGTCGGCGTCAGCGTCTGACAGTATTGCTGTCTCTCTCCCACGAGTTCTGGCGTCCCGACACTCCTCGTCACTGGAGACTCCGCCACGATAGTACGGCGATCGGTAACGTTCCGGCGATAGATGTGGCGATAAATGCGGGGATCTGAAATGTTTTGGTAAGTTTTCTGTATCAGTAAACAATTGAATATGGACTTTACGCCTCTCCAATAAAATGGTATCTAGAGAAACTCTTCTGCCAGATGTCAGTGTGTCAACAACACCTAATTAGAACTAAAATGTAGCAATGACCTAGCTCATAGTAACAAATGAATACTGTGACGTCATAAGCTGAACCATGTTTGAAGTTATTTCTTCTATGTAAAATGTATAATTAGATTATTGATTTAGTTCATTTACCGATTCATTTGATGCCCTGACCTATAGTCGACTCATAATCGTCCACTGGAGCAAACGAAGCTAGCGATCTAAACATAAAGCTGTATACACACGTAGGTATAAAACAGGACGTCGCGTCGCTCGAACATTAATTCCGACAGTTCCGAGATAGAACGGATGGCGCGGGGCAAAAAGTCAATGACGTAATCAGTGAAAGCAATTAACTCGGTAGGGTAGGCACGAGACGGATAAACGCTGACTACAAAAAACATCTATTTATAAACTCTCTCGATTTCAATTTTTTATCTGTACCCTTTAAAAAAGTATACATATACTTTGACCTAAGTATAATACGTCTAAACTTTCCGTAAATATGTAGTTTATCGACTTTAATTAATTATTATATAAATGCGAAAGTTTTGATGGATGGATAAATCGATGATTATTTGAAAATGTCTCCAGAACGGCCAAAGGGATTTCCCTGAAATATGGCATAGATGTAGAAAATAGTCTAAAAAACACATAGGCTACTATTTTTTTTCTTTAATCATAAACGTAGACCTTGTTTATCTTATATATAAAATACCTTTGTCACAATTTTCGTTCCCATACTCCTACGAAACGGCTTGACCGATTCTCATGAAATTTTGTGAGCATATTTTGTATGTCTGAGAATCGGCTAACATCTATTTTTAATCCCGTGCGGACGGAGTCGCGGGCGACAGCTAGTACAATATAGAACTATGCGTGCAGGACTAGTTACGTATAATTCAATAAGTACTTCGTGTAACTTCGCCAAGGCTCAAATACCATTAAACTGTAACACGATATCAATTAGCCAGTTACTAACAAACCTGTAAGCTTATACAGTAACAACAGTACATTTTCTTTTAGTTATTAAAAATGTTAAACTATTTTTTAGTCCGTCTGCAGACAATATGAAAGTATATTTATAATAGTGTGTTTGTAAACACCTCATGTCTCATGACCGCAGGGAATTGTGAAGTTGCCGGCTTATGCATAAAAATGGGGTTACACTGAATAAATGTAACAAAGCTTGGAAATTTGCACGCAAAGACGGCTTCAAAGTGAATTTATCTTTAAAAAAATACTACAAGACAACACGAACATTACAAACTTTAAATACCAGCATCAAGAATTTCTTGATCAAAGACGGAAGAAGATGCCTTAATTTTGGCATTTCTTATCTACCGAGATTTACTTTAAGAAAATAATGCATATACATATTTGTCATTTAAAACAATTTGCAAAACGTATTGCAGGGTAGATTTGACATGTTTAATGAACTCTTGACTCTACCGTCCTAAAAAACAGGCCTGTCACTTTAAAAATAACGATCTTATAATTTGTCCAGTGCAATCACAGTAGCCAAAAAGAGTAAAAAAAGTCTGCAAAGAGGTTTTCTTTTTGCAACAAAAAATAAAGTCAAGTTTGTGTGGTATCTGAAAGTCAAGAAGCACAGATCAATAAGACAAGTACCTTGTTCCGTATATCGCTTGTGTATCTAGTGAGTATTGAGCGTGTAACAGTTGAGGTGTTGGTTGCGGGCATTGAAGAGACTGCTGGGGGAAGAGGGGCGTGCGGCGACGCGCGGTGGGTGGGGTTGCGGCGCCCAGCCATGGGTTGGTGCGGATCCGACAACGTGGCCGAGGTGAAGGTGTCGCGCACAGCACAGGCTCCGCGCAACGCACCACTGGGATCGACCGCCTCTGAAACATTAAGTATATTTTGATCGATATTGTATTTTCATAACATAAATATAGGATTCCATGACGAAATTATTAATTAAATATATGGTTAAATGATTACCCAATTATCAAATCACGCCTTAAATTAGTCTAAGCCAAACCAAGTACGTAAAATTTCAGCACTAATTTATTTCGTAAAACTTATCAAGCAGGAATATTAAGTTTAAATATTTTACATTTTTCCGAAAAGAGATAAATCCATACTAAGAAAACAAAATCTTAGGTAATATACTATTCTTAGGCATAGGCATTTTAAATACCTTGACTTAACCCCTTCTAAGGTAAAGGGGTTTATCAAAAATTGCGTTCGGACTCCCTAACGGCAGCCGGACGCGGGTTTTGTTATTAAAAATAACACTTGGGTGTCAGCATCAGTGCTCTCACTTTACGATCACTGCGCACTATGCTCCCCAAGACAAGGATGTCAACATGCCTAATGAAAACTTAGTGTTTAAACTCGTGCATTTCGGCGCGACAAACGATAGCACGTTTTAAAATACTAGTAGCGACATCTGTTGGCAACATTATAAAAACTATTAATCGGTTATTATTATAAATAGAGATACTCAAAACCTAATTATAAATCATCTTTTGCTATAAAATAAAGATATTAAAGCTCAATTTTGTATAACTTATACCATTCCTTACAAAACATAAAAGGTCAGAAACTTGCTTCATTTCAATTAAACTAAGAACAATTTAATTTGCAAGTTCGAATAGGCTTGAGCAATTGTTGAATGGGATTCCATTACGAAGGCTATTGTTTGCATAAAAGGCTAGTCCTCCAATTTAATCCAGTCGAAGTTAATTAAAGTCCAGTAACAATGAAAAAGTAATTTCATCTTTAATATAAATAGTGAAAAAAAAACAAATGAAAAGGATGTACAAGGATCAAGACTATGTGTGTACTATATAGTTTGATATATCAGTGATACGATAAAAGAACAAAACATTTCAAATTAAATTGTAAAGATTTTATTTTATTAATGTACTGGAAATAAAACTGTAGCATTTTCAATAAGGAAAGAAGAGGTCGTTGAAAAGTTAGTAATAATTTGGAAGTTCTCAAAGTACGCTCCATTTGTCGACAGGAGCACGAGTTGCGAGCAGTTACTTATTTCGTTATTATAACGAGGTCGTAACTCTTAATGAATCTAACTTTGATATTAATCTTTAAGTTAAATTGGAATTATTCATTGGTAAACTGTAATAATTCACCTTAATTTAAAATATGGCTTGTTTTTTTAAGAAAAAATATGAAAAAGACACTATGAAAACTGCTAGCATCGAAGTCACTATTGTAATATTGACTGCCCTTTTCCCTTTAGAAGGTCGGGACAGTAGATAGTTACGTTTATTTTTGTTAATTAAAAAAAAACACAGATAAATATTTACCCCTCTGATATTATTATAGTATTTACCAAAAAACTATATATATATTTTTTTTTAATATAATAAGTATCAACATAAAATAGAGTCGAAAGGTACTTATTGAAATTTTTCCAACATAAACGTAGCGAGTTCAATCGTAGCGGCCACTCGTCGCGCACTCAATCGAACAAGGTCTACGAACTGCGCAGACTAACTTCCGCCAGACCTTTTACTTCAAGTTAAAAAAAATACAACCGGAGTGTGGCGCTTTAAGTTTTTAGTATCGCAAACTATAAATTGGTATTGTAAGTTTGTAAATAAAGAGCTTTATAAAATTGAGAAAGTTTTTTGTTATTTGGCAGAAAAAAATATTTGGCATATTTGAGAGAGAAAATTAATTAGTTAGGGTATTTTAGATTTTGCAATCTATTGGTATTTTCGTATTAAAGGAAAATATAAGTAATTATTTTATTATAATATATAAGACAAATATTAAAGCAGATAAAAACTTGTATCTTGAATGTAGTAAAAAAGACTCAGTAGAGAAAAATAATGTTCTATTTTCTTATCTATATATTTTTGTTTAACTATACGGCTTAAAAATAAAACAATTTTCTAGTTTTTACTTTATATTTTTTTATGAAATAAAAATAATAAAACAACATGAATTAACGTTATTATAAAACATAACATATAACAAAACATAGTGAGAGCGAAGGAAGCCAACTTGACTATGCCTAGTTGGTTTCTTAAAGTGCTTTTGTAAAGCAAAAGGAGCGCGCAATGCCGTGCCGTAACAAAGCCGGGACTCAGGATATCGAATGAACGCCCCACTACAGACAAATCCGAAGCCACATTCATTGCTACACAAACGAGAAAAATTATAACTAAGTTATTTGTAAAAAATATTTTTTCCAAATATTTCTTTGTTATTTTTGTCATATTTACCATAACGGACCCTAAGTTAATTATTAGGAAAAATTGTTTCTTAAATATGGGATAGGTAGTTCCATAGAGTACACGGGAAGAACTGTACCAAATATGTCCTATATCAATGAAAGCATGTACACTGAATATTTTAGCTCACCTTCGCGGGTTCATGATAAAGGTGCGTGGTGGGTGGCGCAGGCGGCGGCGGCGGGGACACGAGTGGAGCGGCGAGCGTGGCCGGCGGCGCTCCCGGGGATGTGCCATCAGTGGAATAACCAGTGCTATACGCGCTCTCCGGCGACGATAAGTGAGGCGCTTGCACAGGCCCAGGCGTTGTCGTGGCCGGGGCCGGCTTGCTTTGCTTCTGTTTACGTTTCTTCGCCCGCCCCAGCTGAGCCTCCATCCATGATTTGAGCCGCGCGCCCAACATGCCGTCGGCACCTGTCAAACAAAAGTTAAAAAAAGGCCGAATGTATGATTTCGGTCATATAAGACTTGTATATAAGTAGATTAGTGCAGAACAATGCGAGTGTTCAAAACATTGTAATAAACTATTTGTTGAAAAGTTGACTAACAATATTACTCAACAAACAGAAAAGGTAACACAGGTCAACAAATTAATTGGTAAAGTAAACCAAGGTCTAAAGGCATCTATAACCCAGCAATAATAATTTATTATGCTTTTATTCTTAATATAACCGTGAATCTTTATTAAATAACTCATTTGATCTTAATGTCATGATTTTTTTCTATAGTATAATCATGCATAACATACAAATTTTCCGCAGTCTCATCCAATAATATCGATCTAATAATTTCTGTCTAAACCAAACAAAGCAATATTCTGTGATAAAACTGAAACAAAATAACGCATATATCCGCACAGACAAAAGAAACGATGCCAACACCCAGAAAGTATTGCAATAAGAACATAAAAAACGCAATCACACCCCAGTCGTAAGATAATACCGCAAAAGCGTTACGGCCGATATAAGATGAGTGTGGCTTCAACAATTGTTTTGCCTAAGCCCTGCATATTGTGTCATCGAGACCCTTCCTTTGATGTAAACAAAAGTGGTGACATAAAATGTTTTATCACCTCACCGCTCGGCGCTCGCGAGGCGTCGACCGAGACACGAGTCCTCTATCTATAGTTGAGGTCAGCTTTTGTTTACTATTAAATCTTTACATAATACATTATTCATATTAAATAACACATTTTGTTAACGTATTTGAATGAGTACTAGAACATTACACATTATAGTGCAAATTAAAATTTATAAATTAATTTTAGAAAATACGATAGAATTTAATGGTCCTATATGATGTGTGTCTTATTTATATACTAAGCTAAATAATAGTAAATAGTGTTTGTATAAAACACATTGAAATAGTTTTGACGATTTATTCGTTCAATTTTGTGGCAGTGACTATAGATACAATTGTACCCGCAGCGCGCCGCACAACTGTTTTTCATTTTTCAAGAAACTCAACGTGAATGTGAAAAGGGCGTTGTTGAGGCTCTTTTTCATCAAACAAGAATGTTGTGTTATAAATATTGAAAATTGAATATATTTTTCTCTTATAAAATACTATACATATTATTCTATTTTTAAAATTAAAGCTTCTTGTTTGTGAAACAAAAGAAAGCACACTTTTTATTAAAATGATGTTAAACACGCATTACTTACACAAAATTGAAAAATGTGTAAATATTATTTCTTACTAATATTATATTTTCAAAATTTTGGATGGATGGATGGATGGATGGATGATTGTTTGAAGGTATCTCCAGGGCTGCATTGACATTGCTGAAATTTGTCATAGATGTAGAACATAGTCCGAAAGAACACATAGGCTAAGTAAGTAAATAAGTATTGATATATATTCTTCAGGACATCAACAAAAACATTGTTCCAACATTAAATTCACATAAAAGAAACATGTGTTTTATGCATTAAAAATATATGCTTTAGAAATAATTATGAAAGAGCTCTTGATATTTTAATTAATGAAAAAAGAACTCGTATTGTCAGTTGACAACATAATTATAATTATAATAAAATATTTAATATAGGAAACATTGATTTAGAATTGAATATCAAACAAATTCAATATCAATATGAAGGTTCAGTACGACTTAGGACTAATCCGGCCTAACATTCAAGTCCCTATACGACGAGTACTTTGCTTATTGTTTCGCTCTTATCCTTCCCCCGGCGAGAGTTACCCGGGTACATATACCCGGCTACAGCCAGTGAAAAGACGGATGAAGTCGGCTTATCCGGAGCGAAGGACGGCGGGGAACTTACGCGATTTAGCTAATATTAGCAATCCATTACCGAACGGTTGCGGTTACATGGGACCAAGCTAGATTGGGACCAACCTCTCTGTTACAATAATGGATCTAATTACAAATTTAAAATGATTTTGCTTTCAATGTAAACAAGAACAGTTTTGTGGTAGTACATCATTTCATTTAAGCATTTATTTTTAACTAGCTGCCGCTTTCGTCTTCGGCCTCTCGGTATTAAAAAAAAACTTAACGTAGCGTATGTATTCTTCCAGACTATGTTCTATATCTATGCCAAAGAGCAATCCATACAGCCATTCTGGAGATATCTTCAAACAAACATTCGCCTTTATAATATTAGTACGATTGATTTTTATAATGCCTTCAGTACATTTATATGTAAATATTTATTTGTAATACTAGCTGTCGACCGCGACTCCGTCCGCGCGGGATTAAAAATAGATGTTGGCCGATTCTAAGACCTACTCAATATGCTCACAAAATTTCATGAGAATCGGTCAAGCCGTTTCGGAGGAGTATGGGAACGAAAATTGTGGTACGAGAATTTTATATATAAGATATAAAATATTATGTTGTTTTGATAAATAGTCAGCAACAACATGAGGTCATAAGACATTTTACGAAAATTGGTAGTAAATAAACGTCACTGAACATCATAATCATACAACTTAGAACATAACATGATATCGTGTCAAAGTTTTGGAAGTCTATAAGTAAATTAACAGTTAAGTTGTTCCCCTACACAACAGAACTAAGTAAAGCGTAGTAACCTCAAACACGGTACAAACTTGTGACAAGTTGTGACGATGTGAGCACAGTTGTCTTCGTCAATAAAACAAAACGTAAAAACTTTATTACGCTCTTACGTATAAAGAGTTTCGTATAGTTTATCTATCTCCATTTCGTCTGCAAAAAGACCTTTTAGAAGATTAAGTAATAGTCGAATGATTTATTGTCTGCAGGATCTTTATGTTTCCTATAATATATAACAAAATGAAAATAATATAATGTTAATCTATACAAAAAGTTAGTTATAAAAAAAACCTAAAATAAACATAGAAGTTATAGGAAGACCTAATATAAAATGCACGAAAATACATACGCTATTATCATAGTGGATGAATTTTGCTGATACTTTGATCTCTACAATCTTATCGATAATATGAAACTGGTCAAATCGATTTCCGAGAAAATTGTATTATGAAAAAATACTCTCTTACCCTTCAACAAAATCATTCTGGATATTAAAATGGATGTAAATAATAATTTGAACTACAAATGCTAGGATGATCGTGCGTTTCCACTGCCGAAATACTTGTACAAAAACATTTCGCCGTCCTTCTTCATGCTCTTTGAAATAAACAGATCGAAGAGAGCTAACAATAAACTTTGTACTGGTTGTAGAAATTATCGACACAATTAGCAAAAATATAGAAGGATTAAAGGATTTTCGTACAGAATTAGACTTTTACATAGATTTTTGAAATGTCATAATGTTGTAATATACCCAGATTATTAAAAGCAAGTGAGAAAACTTTTAACAATTCTACTGAATAATAAATGTAGAAAACCTCCGGCAACCGGCGCTTAATTAATAAATCAGGTATTCATTTATGCAAGCTGTCTACTCCCCGTCGTGCGAGGGACGTAACAAGGGTGTCGTTTTTCCGCTTTTCACAGACAGCCCTGAGAAAAACATTGTCATTCATGTACAGGTTCTTTTGTATAAAAGGTCTGTTTATCATTAGTCTTCTGGATCTGTTAAGAAAATCTAAGATAAGATAAAACTATGACAATCTCTGAATGCTATAGGTAGTGTTGATAAAAAGCGTAAAAGCTATTTATTTTACTTATAAATTTTTGTTTATTTCAAGCGAAAATTGTAATTGATAAAACAGATGTAATAAAAAGAATGTATGTTTAGGAACCTTTTTAAACAATAATGGAGTTGTTAAATAGTATCTCTGGATAGACAAAACACTTTGTTTAATATTGAAATTCTTTCTTATTTCAATAGAGAATCTTTTCTCGAACGAGACATGTTTATAAAGCATTTTAATGTTATCAGGATAATTATTTGAATCTTTCTTTGGATTATATATATCTTCGCATCGGTCAGAAGCAATCTGTTGGACATTGATATCGCTAGATTTATCACAATGAGATTCTTTAACCAATATAGATAGAGTCCCTAACTCGGAACTATTCACAAAAATTGTTTCACAAGGACGTAGTGTTATATGATGTTTTCGTTTAGATTAAAAACGTATCTGTTAATACAAGTTACAAGATAAAAATAACTTTAAAATACACAACCTTGACAAATGCAAAACAAACTGTTGTAAAGAAAACATGTAAAGACACCGATGATATTCTGTTAAATATTTAAATAGTGACCTATTTTCGAGTTCTTTCAAGTGATTCAAAAATATGAAAAAAAAATGAATGACGAGCGAGAAATAACGTTCAGACTTCGGGCTAATTGCGGCCGCTTTCAGCTTCGCTCATAGACGGCGGATTGCGGAGGAAGGGAAAATTTCTGAAAGCCTGACGCCCACAGGCGCGAGCACACCCGACGATTGTCATTTTGTAAGTCTGTATAGTTGTTCATTGAACAGCTTACTGTAATATTTTAAAAGACAGCGTTTAAAAAACATTGAAAATTGTCAATGACTAGGTCAAAGTAAAGCCATATTTAAAAAAATATATTTGATTTTCTAATCTATATTAGTACATAAAGTGAGTGTCCAGTTATCAATAGTAATAGAGATATTATCCCCGTAGATGCATAGTGTATTCAGTGATTCTCAATATTTTCTAGGACGTAATTACTCATCAGTGAACTTATCTTAACGTTAATTGTAAACATTAAATCTTGACTTTTAATTTCTTCTGTCATTTCCATTACTATGTATAATATAACTAGCTATTGCCTGCGACTCCATCCGAGTGAAATTAACAAAATCCTAAATTTGTAGCTTACGTGTTCTTCCAGACTATTCTACATCTACGCCAAATTTCAGCGAGATCCATCCATCCATCATTAGTATTTGTAACATTAGTAAGAAGTAAGATATATCAATATCTTAAACATTCTGATAAACATTACAAGATACTAAGAGATTTTCATTGATTACCATAAGTTACGGGAATAAAAGAAAATATATTGCCATAGGGTCTTTTAAATCTATGGCCCATAACTAGATATAAATTGCAGAATACTTTTTATTTGAAAAATATAAAAACTTTTAGTTGAATTGCCATTCGCAAATAATTTCTAGCTGGCTCATTGAAACACATTAAAGGACTTAAAAGCAAACGTTCCTTTACAGGCTTATAATCATTAAATTACATACGCCCTCTTAAATATTAAGCAGGGTGAGTTTCATGTGACTGTGTAACCATAAGCAGCCGTTTCATTGGAACCTGGAAAGCAGTCTTTTGTGCTTGAAATTTCCTTTGAGAGGCTATTACATAGTCGTTAGCTATTTAATGACATGTATAAAGTTTGCAAATTTTTCTGATTTTTAAAAAATCTATGAAAAGAAACAAAAGGAAACTTTTAAAACATATTATACTAAAAGAACTCCAATTTTTCATTAAAAAAATCATTTTACCAATTTTAAAAGGTACAAATTAAGAAAAGAAATGTAACATTCATTATTCCACATTTTAAAAAATTAACTTTACTTAAATATAACAAACTTCAACTATAACACGTGCGACGGTTTTAATAATTCACGACATCACGTGGCCCGATAGCAACGCGACACCCCTAACCGAATTACGAAACATCTCGTAGACATTCACAAATCTCCAGCCATTCAATGTAAACCGCAATTCTACTGAATTCGGTACAACCCTTGAGAAGGGATTCACTCGGTAACATCTCACAGGGGCAGTGGGCTATCGAACGAAGTCACAGTGCGTCGGGAAAGCAAAGCCGGCCGATCCACGTGAGTTAATCAAAAACAATTTTATAAATTAAAAAATTATTAAATAGTATTTTTATCACAAAATAAACAGAATTTTTAGTAATTTATTATACTTACAAGGGCGCGCGGTTTTGTAATGATGATTGAAGAAGAGATTTTGCGACGCTAAGTCGCATGCCTCGCGGAGGCGGCTGGCGGCAACACGCGGCGGTTGCCGGCAACGCACTGACGCACGCACGCGCGTCGCTAAGCCACTACGCCGCTACGACGCGACGTGCTACGATGCTACGCAAACACTTTAATAAATTATTTGTAATAATGTTTGCTTTCATAATAAGAGTTATATGAATGAAAAGAATACATTATTTCTACTTAATATTTTATAATTTTTTTCTATAGTGAAATTGTATTCATAATACTTATTCATTGGCTTTTCAATATTATTTCCATAAATCCTACAAAACTCGAGTTAAAATTATAAATATTTCATTATCCCAAATGGATATTGAATTCGGAATTGAAAGCAGAAACTGCCAGTTTACGATCCTCATGAAGAAGTTATTATTGAAATGATTCGATAAAGGTCTTCGCTAAGTGGTTACCTGTATAAGCAAGCTATACTTAGCTACGTGTAATAAAAAGTAACACAATCTTTAAATGCACAAACACTGTAAATTGGTATCATTTAAATAACAGTTAGCGTATCTCGGAAATATCAAGTAATAAATTATTATTACAAAATTACTGTCATCGCGAACGTCGGTAATAAATCATACCTACAAGCACAGTGTAAACTTTTACTAATGACCTCGCTCCACAACACAACACGATTACACGTACTTCATGTTTCCACTACAGACTAAATTACAAAAACATATAGTCATCCTGCTCATTCGCTTTAAAAAAACAGCGATAACAAAATGTTTTTGTACTTGTATGAACGATAATACGCATCCCTTCAAAAACAAACTTCTAAACGACCGAACTTTGTTCTTCATGCTGTATTATTAAATAAATGGCCGTCGAATTTTTCCTGTTCAATCTCATTAACTATACATATTATTTTTTATGGTTACACAAAATTTCAGCATACTTTATAATACTATAAAGAAAGACTTTCGCTGTTTTGAAATCATCATTAGCATTACACCATTTCAGCTTTTTCACTCCGAAAATTAGAATATAGTGAGTAATATATACGGTTAGAGGACTTACTATAACTTTAAAAAGGCTCTATATTATGAGAATCGTTCTTAGGACTATCTGTGGGAAAATTCAAAATCCTTCAGATTTGCTTTCCTTTTCGCTTACTCTTTTGCAAAAAAACTTACATTTTAATAAATTGTAACAAACTTTCAATTAATTGAGTCGTTAAGTTTTACAGGAGATAACGTGTGATATAACTTAAAATAATATACTTTATTAATGAATGCTCTGATACATAACAATATAAAATAAACTAATTTAAACTTTGAAATATGTCGTGTAACATTTCTAAAATTACATTAACTTTAAATTGTAAAAGACGGTTAAGTAGGTTAAGTAGAGGTAACTAGGTTAAGTATTGGTTAATACATTCTTAGCTGCTTACATTTCAAAGCCTTGTTAGGTATAATAGAGGACCGTAAAATACAAACGTTACAAGTATAACAAAACCTTACACATTTTTTTTATTAAATGTGTGACTCGGACTTTAAAAGATATCATATTTAGGGGTAGTTTAAGTACGCTTTACATCTGCTGAAGAATTGTTTTCGTGTTTCGATTATTACTTATAATAATAATTAAAGCTTTTGCAGTAGTTGTTAAACAGAAAGGGAAAATGACTAAAATTAAATATTTTAAGAGTGTCAGTTACGTCTGAAAAAATTATCTGCCCCGGTGAGGACGGCGCTAGTATCGCCCGTGGTTCTGACCTTTGCTGAGAAATTAACACACACGAGAGCTATTTTTTACTCTTTCGGCCAACGGTCCCGTAAGTTTAACGTACTACATAAATAACTTTATACGACAAAATCTAATGACATAAAAGCAGGGTAAGGACTCTTTAAGAATAATTCTTTAACTGAAATCTGTGGTGATTTTAAAACGAATTCTAGATTTGGTGTTTTTGATTCCGATTTCGATTGAATAATCTTAATGACAAGTCACATCACTACGTGTCACTGCAATAGACTTATTTTATATGCTCTTTGACATTAGTCTTTGTCAGTCTGTGCTTGTACACGGAACTGTCAAAAGTAACAAGTTTTTGTGAAGGAACAATTTCTTTTTACGAACATAAATACTTTTTTTATTTATCGGCTAAACATATAAAAGTGTATAAATTTTAGTTAGGATTTAAATAATGTCGCTACGTTTTCAAACCATGTAAACTATTTTACCTTTTATCGCTATCTGAATATACAAAATTACATTCCCAATCAATGATCTGAATCATAATGAAAGTGTACGTAGAATAACTAGGAATAGTTGAAGTGTGAAGTAGTGGCCTATAATAGTATAATTACCTATAAAAGTACTGCGCCACTTCTTTGAAATGGCCGAAAATTCTTCTTTTGTTGCGAAGCCGGCAAGAGGATGGCTACATCCAGACTCAATTCTAGCCACAGATGGAGTTACTTATGCTGTCAGAGTAAGTTATTAGAGTATTCATTTAATTTAGAACCCTGGATAAATTCTTATTTATCGACTGATGAAAAAGTTACGCAAGAATCATACTTGATTTTTTAGTTATTTAATCCTTGCCTCTGTTGCAGTACATAGGGTGTATGGAAGTATTAACGTCGATGAAAAAGTTGGATTTCGATACAAGATCTCAAGTTGCTAAGTAAGTAATGCTCATGAGTAAGTAAGTATAGTTACACAGTTAATATGTAAAAATACAATAAACTGTTTAAAACATAATTTTATGGACTCCTTTTTGTCATCTTTCTTCTTTTCCTCTCAATTACATTCCTAAACAGTAACTTGTAAAACCTCACAGTAAAATACAAAAATGTAATCTTAGATATACTAATATTGTCTTAAGTACAGTAAATTAATTAATGGTAGCACAACACAAAGTTAATCACTCTTATTTGCAGGGAATGCATTGCCCGAGTTTGTGCTGCAGCAGGTCTAAGATCAGCTGATAAAAAACGTCGAATTAGCCAAGCTGCAGCCTGTGCTCTGGCCGCTAAGCCACGGATGTCACATTCTGGTTCAAATGTTGCACTAACAATCTCCTCAAAAGCTATAACCATAGCTGCTCTTGAAGGAGGAGAAACAATCGCACGTCACGAAATGCCAAGAGTATCGTTTGCTTCTGGTGGTGACTCTGATTCTTTAGACTTCGTTGCATATGTAGCGAAGACAGCACCACCTACAGAATGGAGAGCTTGTTATGTGCTAGAATGTGGTGGCCAGCTGGCCCAAGATGTAATTTCTACTGTTGGACAAGCATTCGAGTTGCGGTTCAAAGAGTTCTTAACGAAACCTTCATCGTGAGTAAAACACAAAATGATTTTTTTATAATTATTTTTATTGCTTACTAATTTTCTTATCCATGTCCTAAATATTCTCTGAATTAAATACATTTTATTATGTAGTGTAACAAAATGCACTCTTAGTCATCATTTAAGGTCATATCTGTTATAAGGACTTTCAGTGTTATATTTATTTATTGAAGAGAAAGAATGAGATGAAACAGAATAGTAACACTATTTGCTATTTCTGTCGTAGCTATGAAATAACATATTGAGTGCCACTGACTAGCTTTGCAAGTTCACATTAGTATATGAAAATCATAATGGCATTGAATGTGTTAATTGTAAGTAAAATTAGTAGTGATTGCATATTTGACAATGTTAAGGAAACTACAAAAACAATAATTCATCATTCCAAACAAATTGTATAGTTTGGTAAAAAACAACAAATAATTTGTTGTTACATTAATAAAATATTTGTATTATATCTTATAATAAAATTTACAAACTATAGAATAAAAACAATGCTTTGATAAGGAAATATATGTAGGAATTCTATTATGTTACATTTTTTAGTATGATATTTTCCTGTTCTGATGACAATAGACTGCGCATTTTTAGACAGAAAAACAATTTGTGATTCATTGAATATTTAAAAATTTTGTAGCATTGTATCATCATTATTATCTCCTTGCCCTAATTAGTTTGTATATTTATTAAGAATAATTGGTTTAAATCTATTTTTACTATCAGGTTCTCAATTAAGATGTGATTTTAGGAAGTAAATTTTGTTTTCTGCAGAATTAACATTCTGCCAAAGATGTGGTATGCTGGCTAGTAAGAACTTATGCTTCTTTTAATTATAAAAAAAAAGTAAGTTAAAAATTAAAAGAAAATGGCGCGGGAAGTATGAAAATGAAAATCTAATAGAGTTGGAATTTTTAATGTAAATAATGTGTATATATTTAGTGTAAGGATGTTAACAATGAATAATAGCGTTTTGACTGTCGAGCTGCTGTTTTCAACATAAGTTTCTTGTGCAAATGTTTCCGAAAATGAAAAATTGAGATGGATATAAATTTTCATGATTCCAGGGTGAACGTTAACGGTTCCCGTGCGTTGTGCACTGAAGAGGCGGTGCAGGGCGCGATCGGGGGCATTATAGACGAGCGCGACTACTACAACGACTTGCCCGACAAGATCCCGCCCGAAGCCACGCCCTCGTACCGACACCCTCCGCCGCCCCCGCTTGCCTCCCTCGCACCAATATCATCGTAAGTATACTCCAGACGCAATGGGTGCGAATTAGAAATATCATACTTCTAATTCTTTGCACCACAATTTAGTTATATTGTATCCAATGTATGGAATAGGGTTTATTTATGTCTTATTTGGTTCAGTTGCGAGGAGAGCGTGCGGCACTACGTGAACCAGACTCCGCCTCCGCGCACTCCGCCCACCGCGCTGCTACCCAACCACAACACTGATATATTTGATATGCGTAAGTCAAATGCACACATCATCATTGCAAAACTATGTCCAGTTATAATTTTTTTTTAATTTCGGAATCCATAACCAAGTGTACAAAGCTAAGTCACAGTGCATATGAGGATATGTAACAAACTTTAAAAAAAATAACAATATTTTTTTCAGAGCCATTCACAGCTGCACCAGTCACGTCTCCATCGTCGTCGTCACCGTCGTGGTCGTGTGGCGGGACAGGGGCGGGGGGTGCTGCGGGGCAGGCGGGGGCAGTTGTAGGTCCGGGCATACCACTGTCGGAGGCGACGGGCGAACCACTGTCGAGTGCCGCGCAGGCCGCGCTGCTCGCCACCGAACCCTGGTTCCACGGACCCATATCCAGAACAACAGCAGAAAAGGTTTGTTTTTCCACTACCTGCTTCGCTCAAAATAAAGAACAAAAAACAGTTCATCTAAAATCTACAAGTTTTCAACAATTGTTTTCCGTTTAGACATATGATGTTTATAATTTGTTACGTTTTGCAGCTGGTTGTGGAGGACGGAGAGTTCCTGGTGCGGGAGTCAGCAGCGTGCCCCGGACAGTTTGTGCTGACAGGCGCGCGACGCGGACACCACAAACACCTCCTACTCGTCGACCCCAATGGAGTCGTAAGTATACTATAGAAGGGAAGAAGAAAGAATATATGGCTCAAGATAAAATACAAAATTGTAGCGCGGCACCTTTCGATGTAAAGCGTAAACTACAAAATGTATAGCATATTTTTTAAATATTTTAGGTAAGAACGAAAGACCGTATATTCGAGAGCGTGCCGCACCTGATCAACTTCCACTGCAGCAATGAGCTGCCCATCGTGTCCGCGGACTCCGCGCTGTTGCTGCGCCGCCCTGTGCCTCGCCCCGCCCCTTGAGCGCATCGCCACACCCCTGTACTACGCTCCGCCCCCTAATCGGTGCGCCACACCTCGTGACCCACCGTGACATATAATTGAGTATGAAATATTATATTTTTACTTTGAAGTGCACGTTGTAAAGAACATGCACACAATCATACAGTTTAGTTATATATTTATCTATATACATATTACATAATTTGAGCACATAGAGCATCATGTGTTTTTGTGTAGAAGACAAGACTCATATAATTACACAAATACATTTGTAAAGAATCTTATTTGTTCAAATAGAATGAGATAAATGTTTTTATACATATGTATCGGCAGTGAAAACTCATCATACTACTATAAACACTAAACTGCATTTAGTAGCACATTGTAGTGCCTTTTGTGTAATATAAAGCTTACATTTTAATCTTTTTATGCCATTATATGTACTAAAAAACAAAGACATTTATACTCTTTTATAGTTTTTTTGCTCGCGTTCAATGTATTTTTAAGATAAATCTGTAATTTTAATCAATGAATTCATGTTATTTGCACCAATCAATGAACAAAAATAAAAATTTTGGAATTAGAGAACAATTTTATAATAAGAAGTAACATCTGTTTATGTATATCCATAAGTTTCCACTGTCGAAAAACATATTATCCTAATAATTTCTTTTAGATAACATGTTTTTCGTGTGTTGCTACAATGAAAACTCTTTACTCTCAAACTTGAATAAAACATGTAGGGAAAAGTCAATGGGACGGAGGATTGAAAAGAAATTTTTTATTGTAGAATTATGGGACAAGGATGGAAGAGCTACGACAGTTTTTAAGCCAAAAGATTTTTATATAGAAAGGCGCTTTAAACATATTTATATAAAAGAAAAAAAAACTTATTGTATTTCATCACTTTTGGCCAAATTTACGTATACGATATTAAGAAAATGTTTGAAAATGAAAGTCAATCAAAGTAAAAGTTAAAGTAACGCAGGAATTGAGGAAACGCCAATTTACCCGATGAATCTAAGTTTTATAAAAGCTTTAAATATTGCTGTGCAATTTTATACCAAAATATATGTTGCTATAGACAGAATATTGTCAACTGTATAGCGTGACCCAAAATTCAACGATAAACCGATTATGGTGTATAGCCAGATAACTACATGGGGAAAAATACAAAAAAAATCCAACTCTTTTTGTTTAAAATTTTCATTAACTTTGGTATACATCAGTACCGGTTTATCGTTGAATTTTGGGACACGCTGTATATATTTTTTTATATTTTATTCATTCCAATGTGGTTTATATTGAAATATTTATATTAAAGCTCTCTGTGTGCATTAACACTGTCATTAATTGTCACTAAATTAGTGGCTATTGATGTACGCGTACATCACCCCGCGTCGGACGCACCGTACGCACGGCCCGCAACGGATTTTAGTTTGCTTTGTTATTATACATAACGCTGCGTCATTAATAGGCGCCGTTCGGATCGTAAGACGGCATTTATCAACACGCAATCCGTTGCGGTCCGTGCGTGCGGTGTGTCTGTCGAGGGCCGATGGGCACTTACCTTTTGTAGCCATGAGATGATTATCAATGCGGCAGTTTAACTGTTAGGTTTGAAACGAATAGGTGCTAATAAAGCTTACTTAATATTTAATTCCCATATGTAAAAACATATATGTTTATACTAGATTTTAAGATATCACAATTTAAGTTTTCATTTAGTAATATAAGACTGCTTATTATATAGAAAGCCTGTATCTATTCCTACCAATATCATTACGTTTAAGCAATTATTGTGTCATTTTAAACGCTTTAACAAATTTACTTTTATTATTGTAATAGCTAATTCGATTTGACTAAATTAATAATAATTTAGTATGTGATAAGCACAAAGTTAAATCTTAGGCTAGTTTATATAGATATGCAAATTATGTTGATGAAATAAAGGTCAATAAACTATTTTTATAAGATTTTTTTTTATTTACACTGTTGATATATTAAAGGGGAAAATAAGAGGAAAGACTTTAGCATTGGAGCTTCAAACTGCTAAGCCCGTAAAACCATATCCCTTTTTATCTTTGACAAAATAGAGAACAAAGGAACCAACGAACAGTGTTTGACAGAGAAGGGAAAAGGATTGGATTTTGTTGAATGAAACAATCAAATGAAAAATAAGTCCGTACTTAATTATTTAATAAAAAAATGTAATATTACAATATAAACAGTAAGGTCATACATGGCAGTGATGTTTCGTTACTTATAAAATACTAATTGTATTTACTACACAAAATTCGAGTCCAGCATGTCCGCTCGCCGCCGCCCGCAGCCGCACGCAGCGGCCGGAACGTTCCTCGACACCGAAAATTAATACATTCAACATTGTAATCTCACAACAAATACATTAAACTTCCAAGAGAACCAACAAATTGTGTCAAGCGAACCGTTCGAGCCGCTTACTGTCAACCCCAAGCCTATTCCTACTATCCAAATTACATCGATCCAAAAAAAACAATTATTATGCCTAATTCTCTTAAGAGTGTGATGACACCGATTGAGGGCCTCGCGACCAAAATGAATTAGTTTCGAGCGCAAAACAATTTTCACTAGATATTTTTTTTAACAATAATCATATCGCGTGAACGATCGATTTTTGTACAGTCAGCGTCATATAGATCGTCACAGACAAGATATGCAAATATATAGGTACACCAAAAGTATTCAATTATATCGGTACAACAAAAGTCCTCAAAGTAATAGATACATTCACCCTGCTCAAATACATCGGTACATACACAGCGTCAAATATATGGGTACATGCAAGATGCTCATAAATATCGTAGCAGCCACAGCGTCATAAGTAACGAAGCAGTCAAGGTGCGCAAAAATATCGGTACATTTGACAAAATTGAACTCTATCTCTATATACTTGTGATACAATTTGGAATAAACTACTTCTGTTACATTCATTTGACACTTTGTATTAACATTATAGGTTGTCCGGAAAGTTCGTTCTGATTTTCGATATAAAGCTTACAATAGACTGTAGCTGAAGTGGATTCATTTTCGGATTTCCACCATTATCAAACGTCACAAAAATTTCTATATTGTGAATAATTTCATTTCATTGGTTGAGATGAAAACTAATTTTTAAAATTTTATCCAATAATAAAAGACGTTTTAGATATAGAGTCGTACCAATATAATTTAAAAACATTTCCAAAAATTTAAGAGAACAGGGTTTCAATTTTCCTTATAAAGCGGCACGAACTTACTGGGCAACCCAATATTTTTCTTCTCCTGTCATAACGCTTAAATATAAAAGTTTGTCACGCCGAATATGACAGATACGTATTAACTAATATCAAATTTCGCCTTGTCACAATATATATAATACTAGATTGGCGCAGTATTCTAGTATGTTTGCCGTAATATTTACATATTACCGGTTCGAATCTCAGGCTACTTTTTTTTTATTTTATCAATCACGGGGTTATTTTTTCATAACCAGTAAAAATTTGGTAATGTAAAATTTTGCTCGACAATTTTTTTTTATAATTTTCGCTGTCGGGTAGAAAGAAATTTAAATAAAGTTAACAACAATTAGGTCAGACCATCGCGGGTGAAGTGAGTGGGCGGAGCGTGGATTGTCTTTGCGGGATTTTAAGAATGGTACGCGCGGAAACTATACGTACAAGTGTTATATATATTATCTACATATGTGTGCGCGCCCACGCACACTGGAATGTTTATTCCAATCGACCAAAAATTTGATGTTGTTTGGATATTGACATTCAGTTTTTTTTCTTTGTTTCTTAAATATAATCAGTATCAGTAAAAGGTAAAAGTAAAAGTGTTATTTTTACCGGTGCAAGTTTAACAAACTTGAGTAACAAACAAATTACATGCCAATAGCATCGCTTTATCTCCTTCATTTTTGTTTGAAATAGAAAAGTACTTTTACGGTCAAACTCATTAGTCCAAGGCAATATCAAAAAGTACCTAATAACTACCGCGATAGAATTTAATTACATGTGCTTCGATATTAAAATTAAAAAGTTTAAATATCAAAAAAAAATAGTGGCTTGGGATTTGAGCCGCCGACCTTACGTACCAACGGCGGCGAACGGTAAGGCCACGAGACCAAACTAGCATATATGATGACAAACTTAAATTTGATGTTGGTTTTATCTACCTAATATCTGTCATCCGCGTCGAACACTTTTAGTAAATTTTGAAAAATGGTTTGATGCAAAGTGTCAAATGAATGTAACAGAAGTAGTTTATTCCAAATTGTATCACAAGTATATAGAGATAGAGTTCAATTTTGTCAAATGTACCGATATTTTTGCGCACCTTGACTGCTTCGTTACTTATGACGCTGTGGCTGCTACGATATTTATGAGCATCTTGCATGTACTCATATATTTGACGCTGTGTATGTACCGATGTATTTGAGCAGGGTGAATGTATCTATTATTTTGAGGACTTTTGTTGTACCGATATAATTGAATACTTTTGGTGTACCTATATATTTGCATATCTTGTCTGTGACGATCTATATGACGCTGACTGTACAAGCCAATATTATTTTCATAAAATTTTCCTAAAATGGTATTCGCCGCTCGTTTCTCGAAACTTTGAAAATGTTAAATTTCTAGAATTAATAATAATTTTTCAGATCCCAAGCGTGTGACATTGCATACAGAAATGTAAATACAGTGTTCGGACCCCTTCCAATACTAAATCGTCTACGTGTATAACATTCTTTGGGACACAGCAGCACTATTCACCAGACCCTCCTAAAACGCAGGATCTCAATCCGTGCCTTACATTTACTTCTATTATTCGCTATAATGTACTAAAAATCGAATCGAACTAAACTCGTCACGATGACAAATAAAAAATAAATAAATACCTTTCTATACAAAAATAAACACATTTGAACACCTGAGCACTTGAGACCTAGAGCATCGATCTGTCAACATTCTTTCTAATAATTTGGCTAAAAAATAGCGCGCACGGATCACCACATGGTAAGTGATCTCACCAACAAAAGATCTGCCTTGCTACTGTTGAGGATTGACAGCTCTCTGTCAAGACCCTCCTCGAACCGTCCACACGCATCTGATCCATGGCCACCACTTGCCTGCCTCTACCGCTCTTACTTAAGCCATTCACAGCTTAATGATTAACCTATCACCTATTTAAGATGGCGCCATCGCCAATAAACATTCACTTATTACTTGATAATGGTCAGTAAAATTGACGCTACAACTTTATCATTATTCCTCACAAAAGTGACGGAGAGTCGTGTAAACTTTACAATTTATTTCATTATAAAAATTACGTTTTATCACCAAAAATATACACATCACAATGACATTTTCATATTCAAGTCGTGTTGTAAAAATATATATCGTAAACTATCGCTCAAATATTTAAGTTTGGTCAAATACGAAATATACAAACGGAACTCTAGCGTTTAATGTTTTAACTTTTACTGAAATATCAATTACAAGAGCTTTTACAATTGTTTGTACATTCGGACTCTCTTCTATAAGTAAAAAAAAAACAACAAACAGCTAAATATTGTAGTTGAAATAAAACCATACTCTTTAAAAATACAGATCACGCTCACACAAAGTTAAAACAGGTACATCGACGTCGCCCGGACAGCATCGCTACTTGCATTGATACAACTGAAGTCAGGGTTATCACCAGATTTGTGTAAATGGCTCACTTCTAACTTATAAGTATAACGGTCAAAGTGCAAAATTTTTATAAGAAAATGTTGCAAAAACGTTAATAATTGACTGGCGCGACTCGCGCGGATATCGACACGTCCAGGAACAGTTACTACCGTCGCGCCGGATACATCCGTACTCCAGCGATAAATCGAATTCATTCGTGCAAAATCTACATTATACATACATAAATACATCGGAAACGCGGAATAAATACGAGATCTGCGTTTCAAAATCGGCCCTCTACATTACGTTTCACTCGTTCGATCCGGGAGTGTGGAAGTGATCCAATCGTGGCCCGCGGCGGGCGGCCATCAGTCCGGCGTCGCCACCAGCGCCGGCGTCTGCACCACGGCGGCGGCGGCGGGCGCAGCGGCGGCGGCGGCGAGCGGCGCGGCGCGGTGCAGCGTGAACGCGTCGTACACCTGCGCCAGCTCCTCCGTGTGGTGCTCCTCGAGGCAGAGGAAGCCGGCCAGCGTGGGTGACGCGCGGCGCGCGCACGCTAGGCAGTGCACCACGTGCCGGCGCTCGTGCTCGCGTACCAGCAGCGCGTGCCAAACCTCGCGCTCGCACGAGCCGCAGTAGTGCGAGGCCTCGCCACGCGCGCGCCCGTGGAACCTGATAGGCACGCCGCGCGCGCGCACCACGTTGAGCGTGCCCGAGGCGGCGCGCAACGTCTGCATGAGGCAGGTGCGCATCGCGCGGTGCAGCCGCGGGTCGGAGACGCGGATGTTGCGCGCCAGGTTCCAGGTGAGGTGCACCATGGGCACGATGGACTTGAAGTTCTGCACCTTGTTCCACTCGTAGCGCTCGAGGGCGAGCGTGTACTGCCTGGCGGTGAGCGGGCCCACGTTCCAGGCGATGTTGTTGCACCATCCGGTGGCCTGCACCCAGTGCACGCAGCCCGCGTTCACCCACACGAGGTCACCGGGGCGCTGCGTGAACCGGTAGACGGGCACGCCGTGCGCGCGCAGCTCCTCCGGGTCGGGCCACCACGAGCCGTGCAGGTACGACAGCCCGTGCCGGTCGCACAGCTCGCGCACGCCGCCCCAGTACGCGTCCGGCACGCCGAACCACTCGCAATCTCCCGGCCCGATGTTTATATTTATTGAGCAAAAATTGTTGTTCTCCTGGTGGCCGGGCGTCCGGCTTCCGGGCACTTTCATATACAACTGGACGGTGTTCATGCCGAGGATGACGTGGCCGACGTGAGAGAGCATGTTGGCGGCCGAGGCGACGCGCGCGAATGCTGGCAGCTTCTGCAGCTCCGTGAGTTGAGGGCGCCACTTGCGCTCGTCCGAGAGGTCGACGTTGGTGCCGAAGCGCAACATCCTGGCGCTCTTGCGGCGCTTGACGGGGCCGCCCGACTCGCGGCCGTCGGAGTCGGAGAGCGCGCCGGCGGAGTGCTGCGGGACGGCGCCGCGCTCGCGCTCCTCGCGCAACGAGTCCTGGAAGGAGCCGGCCTGGTACTGGGCGTACTTGCGCACGGTGGTGTGCGAGCGGTGACTGGCGCACGCCCACACGCGGCGCCGCCCCGTCGGGTCCCAGTTCTCGTCGGCGGACTGCATGAGCTGGGTGCGCACCTCGACCGCGTGGTCGGGCCACGCCTCCACGAGGGTCTTGGTGGAGAAGAGGCCGAGGTCGAGCTTGAGGGCGGCGGTGAGGCCGCGCACTACGGCGATGGGGTGCTTGAGGCAGAAGTCCTGCAGCTGCGGGGAGAAAGCGTCGCGCTTCGACTCGACGTAGACGAAGGGCGCGGGCGGCGCGAGCTGCTCGGCGGAGAGGCGCGGCGCGGGCACGGCAGGCGGCTCGGGCGCGCCGCACCCGTCGCCCAGCACCGACCACGACGTCGCGGGGCCTGCATTTTCTCTGTCGACAAAAACAAATAAACATTACAGCTTACCTACGTTAAATTTGAACCGGGATTGCAATAGAAAATAATTTTAACCAAGCATATTTAGTAACATTAGTTTATCAAGGGTACTGACTTGCAAGCGTCGAGGATCTGCTTGGAGCTCATGCCGATGTGAAAGGAGAGGGGCTTGAGGGGGTCCGTCTTGAGCGGCTCCAGCTTGACGACGGGCTGGCGGCCGCCCAGCACTGCCTCGTTCGCACCGCCGCCCCCGCCACCGTTCCCAGCTCCGTTCTCTGCTGCACAACCACAACACAACATACTATTATACATATTCTATGTCAACATTATTTGGCTAGCCAAATATAAACAAACATTGAAGATCGCGGTAAAAATGTAAAATATATCGTAACATCCTAAATATGGAAAAAATATAAAAACTCAATTTATTATTTGGCTATTGTAACTTAACGTAAATTTTTATATTTCCACAAATATGTCTCTAACTTTTTTATTTTAGTTTACACTTATTTTACTTTAAAACTATCTGAAATATAATAAAACTTACAAAAAACCGTTTTCATGATAACCGTAGATACTTCAAGTTATGACAGTGAGTGACGTTGATGACAAATTGTTTTTTACAAACTATTCGACTGCTTATTCACCAACTGGCATTTAATATAGAGAAAGTATGGTTAAATAAATGTAGCAAAAAAACGTTACGACATTTCATTTCTAAGACTTTTTAAAGAATCAATACTAGCTGATGCCTGCGACTCCGTTCGCGTGGAATTAAAACATACCTAACAAGTAGCCATCTGTGCCAAATTTCATCAAAATCCGTTGAGCCGTTCCGGATTCCATCCAAACATTCGCATTATAATATTACTAGATAAGATTAATTTAGTCTCGATGTTAAAACTGATGCGATGTCTACTTCCCATACTTTCAGTGTCCACTGCGAAAATACTTGTCTTCAAAAATATTCACATGATTTGATGAGAAGCATATTGATATGCAAGGGGAAGCCCTCTGTAGATAACCAACACGACTAACAAATAACTGAGGTTTTAAATTCGAAAACATTTTTTAAATTTGTACTACATCGACTATACGCTATACGCGTCCTGCCAGGAGTATTTTCCCTTAATATTTACCTCTTGACATAACCCGTTTTAACCGTTTGGAAATACTGCATTTTCGACTAGTAATAGACAAGGAAGGAAAACTTGTTTTGAATATTTCCATAAATTACATTTAAAGAAGTAAATTATGATATATGATTCATTATTGGATTGTTTAATTAAACTAAGATATTTATTAATCACGTCTTTAATAAGAATTTGATTCATTTCGTTCTTAGTATTACTTTCAAGTTTGTTCTTAACATAAGTGGAGCAGTATGAGTCAAATACCCTACCTTTTTTTATAGGAGAAGGGGGCAAACGAGCTACGAATCGCCTGATATTATTTGATCCGACGCCTATGGACATCCGCAACGCTAGAGGAACCGCAGATGCGTTGCCGGCCTTTAAGGAAGGTGTACGCTCTTTTCTTTTCTTTTTACCTTCAATAAGATTTAAAGCATATTTCTAGCAATGGATTTATATTTAACTAAATGTCGTCCACGAGTTAAAATTTTGTAAGTATTCCACGTGCCCTTTCCAGACATTTTTTTACATTTTGGTCGAGAATAGTGGATCAATTCTGGAGATACCTTCTAACATCCATCCATTCATCCAAACTTTTGCGTTTGTGAGAAGGAGTATAGCAGTTTCCCGCGTCTTCGTCCGCGCGGCATTAACAAAATTTTGTAATAAATATAGCCAATGTCAGGCACGGATTATGAAGCTTCCCTAGAGCGAAAGAAGTTTTCAAATGGGTTCAGTAGTTTCGTAACCTATTCAATGCAAACAAATTCGTCATAATATTGGCAAAAAATATGCATGCAAACCTACAAACGTTGATATTTATTTATAAAGGAGTAGTAATATTTAAATAAACCATGATATTTTTATATAAACTTTGTGACAAGCTTAATAATTATTTCTACTAAAGTTGTAACCCGCTTTCAACCACTTTAGTATTTAAAAAACCGATGAAATCAAGCTACTCTTGAATACGGTAGGAAAACGCGGTAATTACGGTTGACGCCAGAAGCACCTCTTAAGAGCGGAGATTTATTTTGCAGTACAAAATCAACGCCGTTTATTAGCAACTGAATCGACTTTGATTTAAAAAAAAACGTTAGTTTTACTGCTGAATACCCGTATAAAACATATTCTTGTCTTTATCTTTTTAAGGAAAACGATGGAGAGAGCAATATATGTGTGTTTTGGCGACAGAAACCTAAAGCAATATTCTATTAATAAAACTATTAATAATAAAATAGGCTAAGTTAATCTTGTATACATAAGCTACCGTTCAATAAAAGTCCCGTCGAAATAGGTACAGCCGTTTCGGAGATTATCCGGAAAAAACGCGGACTTATAGACCATGATAAAGATGTTAAAAATTGGTTTTCTGTTTTAAGCAACGTAAATATATCATGTTCGCGAAATAATATTTTTTTATATTCATCATATCAGCTCACTTTACGTCCCCACCGAGGGGCTCGGAGCCTACTCTACGTTAAGGGTGATTAAGCCATAGTCAACCACGCTGGCCAAGTGCGGGTTGGTTGACTTCACATCTTCATTCTTTTAATTTCTTCTCAGATATGTGCTGGTTGCATCACGATGTTTTCCTTCACCGTAAGAACGTCGGATAAATGTACATATGTAAATCGGAAATCGAAAAACACATTGGTACATGGCGGGATTCGAACCCAGGACCTGCAGATTGCAAGTCAAGTGACCCTTGACCCCTGAGCCACCGATGACTTTTTTTTATATTACATAAAGACAATTTGATTATATTAAAATTAAATTATTGTGAGTTAAACGACACGTAAGAAAATAATTATAACAATATAAATATTTAAACAAAAGCTTTAATTACAATTACAATTCAACACTTAGTCGCTCTCAGAATCTCACGTTTATTTGTCGGTCGTTGATCTGTTTTGTGAGAGAAAAAAGTATGTAGCGATGTTCGAACTTCGCATGAGTATCAAAAATAAACTTTATATGATTCATTCAAGAAAAAAATTGTTCAAAAGGAAAAATTAACCATCAAAAATGCATTGAAGAAAAAAAAATATTTTGACCTTAACAAAGTTCGATATAGGGCTACCACTTCTAACTAATATTATAAATGTGAATGTTTAGATGGATGGATGGACGTTTGTTTGAATTTATCTCCAAAGTGACTGCATGGAACTCGCTGAAATTTAACATAGAGGTAAAACATAGTTCGAAAGAACATATAAGCTACTTATTATCTTTTTTAACTCCGCGCGGACGGAGTCGCGGGGGATAGCTAGTTATTAAATAAATGTCAACTGTTTAATTCCCGCATATTTCCGGTCCATAATCATTCAACTTATAAAGAGAACCGAGTGCTCAAGGGGAAACGTGCACCTGCTCACTTTAAATTTCTACCGCGACCATTTCCCTTTTACATCGTCTAGTCGTTATCAGAAAGAAAAAGTGTAATGTAAACGCAAAAACTCGGTATACCTTCGATTGTTCACGAAATGTAACTTTATTTAACCTTTCTGTAAGTTTTAAATGTCATATTTTGTACAACATAACGGAATTCAACGAAATTTACAACTTTTTAACGTTTAATACTAATTTATCACACTTTTGGTGTTATAAAGTTATCCATATTTTTCTCGCTGCGCTGTTCCCAATTACTTCGAGACACATCATCTCATATATCTTACTAATATTATAAATTCTATGGATGGATTTGGATGGATGTTTGTTAAAAGGTATCTCCAGAACGGCTGTATGAATTTCACTAAAAATTATCACACATGTAGAACATACTCTGAAAGAACACATAGACCACTAAGATTTTTGAAATCCGCGCGTATGGAGTTGCGGGCTAAATCTAGTCGATCTATAATCCGTCACATTTCACGAAAGCCATCTCTTATAACCTTCGTAGCTGTAAAATAAAAAAAATGTACTATAAACTTACTTGTGGCTGGTTCTTTCTTGATATCAGTTTGTGAGTCTGAGAACTTTTTGAGCAGATCTTCAGCGAGAGACTCGGCGCTCTCGCCGCCGCTGCCGGCGCTACTTTCAGTCTTCGTAACCTGTTAACATAATGAACATTAGTATTTGTAAATGACAATATATCGTACAAATTATGTTACATCAAGCCTGCCGCCATTTTGGAAGGGATGGGAGGGAAATGTATATACAAACCGCACGCGCTCTCGCCGCCTGCGCCAGTCGGTACTGCGATAGTAATTGTTGCATCAGCGCCTAAAAATACATGTTGAATACAATATCATATTGAATACCAACAAATTAAAAAAAAACATTTTTTTTAAATATTAGCAGATTTTTGTTAATTTACTAATATTTCTTATATAATTCCAATTAAGCTCTATTACTTATGGACATAGTTAACGACAATAATCGAATGGCGGGATTCGAACTCCCGACCAATCGGAAATCCGTACCTTTAACCATTAGGCTATTGACGCTTCAATATATTTCAATTCCACCAATAAAATAACCAAAAATGGATATAAACAAGTACATTAACAAAATGTGTTACGTAACTTGAAATATTATAACAATGTAAGTCTACGTTCGCGATAACGAAAGTATTTCTCTGATAAGAACATTAATCATTTTTTTACTACGAGTTGTACTACTAAAGATAAGAAAAACAACTACAGCATTGATAAATGTCCTACGAAACTTCAAGTATAGTTTTCATGTGTATTTTTAATTAAAACCCGTTGACACATAAAATTGTATTGTGCGAAATGTCATGAGAAATTAGCCGTCAATTAACGTAATCGCGTGTACATGTACGTGAAACATGTCGGTATACTTGTTGCTGTGGTGAGAGGTTGTGAGAGTTCCTCTGCAGGTACTGTAGCGTCTGCAGCTGCTGATGGCTGAGAGGAGGTGCTTCCTCCGCCCTCTTGCCGGGGTAAGGCGGAGGTGCTGACTTGGGCGCTCGGGACGACATCTCCGCTGATATGGGCAGGTTCCACGCTTCCTCTATAGACGGTAACTGACGTCGTCTGCAACAAAACAACATTATAAAAGCAACAAAACGTACATTTCCGAAAAAAAAACCGGTGCGTCAGTTGTTTCCATGAAAAGTGAAAGTTACAATAACATTATGTGTTTACCAGTCAATTAAAAAGGTTGACCAACGAACGATCACTGGAAATATGTACTATGTATTACTGGAAATCCGATAACATATATAACGGTTCAAATATGACGCGTACTTCATAAAATATAACGCTATTATGATAAAAGGTCACGTACGTTTCAAAAACATCTATTACTCACTGCATAGTTTCATAACGTATACCAATGATTAAGCATTACAGATATACAATTAGGTATTTCCAGTGTTTGATTAGGATAGAAATATATAGAGCGATATATTTGTTGACAAAGAGTATACAGACATGAAACCTTCATGTAAGCTTAGGGCAAAATACTTTAATGCAATTACTTGTCGTATGAGCGACCTAGTTTCCTAGTGGAGCGTGTGAATGTGGCACAGCGGAAGCTATGCTTGTAAACTGATGATTCAACGAATATACTTGTGGCATTGAAAGGACGACTAATATTGTATGGGACCGATTCCGACTAACGTAGTCACGTGAAAACATTCCCCTGGCAACGCCTTAGCTTTACCTAATTAACGTAACGAAACTAAAATAAATATGTTACTAACCACTGTTATTACTCACGACATTCACTTCAGGGATTAAGCGTTCATTTACTAATTGGAATGGTTGAGATTCCTTTATATAAAAGATAATAATTTGACTTTTATAACTATATGTTTACTTTAGGAATGAATTTTTCAAGTTTTTTTTTAAATATTAGCAGATTTTTTTTTGTATGATACTAATATTTCTTTTACCTTTCCAAATAAGCTCTAAGCTTGTACTAGGATATGGTTTACGACAATAGTCGAATGGCGGGATTCGAACCCCAGACCTCGTGATCGGAAATCCGTTTAGGAACCATTAGGCTATTGACACTTAAATTTTACAATAAATATTTATATCATTAATTAATTTAAATAGAAAAATAGATTCACGTGAACTCAATACAAACCTACTAAAAATACATTTTCTGAATGATTGAATTTTAATAAAAATTTTTACAAACAAAGAGGTCAGATACTTCGAAGCGAATCATTTGGCTGTAAACTAGCCTACATGCTTGGTCATCATTGAAATAATTGAAGTTTTTATAGTCACCAATATAAATTTGCATACAAATTCATCCATACTAAGGATACGTATCACAAACAATGAAAAGAACAAAGAACATGGCCGATAACACTGCGTCACAATAACAAACATTGTAAGATACTGGGTTTGCAAATGCTAATTAACGTCACGAAACAAAGAAATCTCCATCACTAAAACACTTTTACAACGCAAATGTAATCAAAACAAATGCATATTATATTTAAACCAGCTGATGCCCGCGACTCCGTCCGCGCGGAATTAAAAAAAAAACTTAATCAGTAGCCTATGTGTTTTAGACTATTTTCTATGTGCAAAAATTTAGTGAGACTCATGCAGATGTTCTGGAGATGCCTTCTAACAAACATCCAAACATCTAAATATTAGCATTTATAATATAAGTAAGATAAGATTGTTTATGAGCGTCGCTGGATCAGTGGTCAAGCACTTGACTTGCAATCTGCAGGTCCTGGGTTCGAATCCCGCCATGTACCAATGTGTTTTTCGATTTCCGATTTACATATGTACATTTATCCGACGTTCCTACGGTGAAGGAAAACATCGTGATACAACCTGCACATATCTGAGAAGAAATTCAAAGACATGTGTGAAATCAACCAACCCGCACTTGGCCAGCGTGGTTGACTATGGCGTGACTCTCGGTGGGGGCGTATAGTGAGCTGATGATGATGAAGATTGTTTATTCGTAATAATTGTATGACCCGATAATATTTTTCTATATTAACAACTATTTCTATATTATTAATCTATATTTACATCTGTGAGAATAGAAAAAATATCGTTAATTAAATAATAGCCAAAACAACTCGTTATAATCATCACGAGATATAATGTAGAAATATCGTCTTAATTAATTGTAATCAGTGGACCTTGATCGGTTATCCCGAAGGAGGTCTAATAATACCCACTCAGTAAATTAATGATTTTAGGTCACGGATGCTTCAACGAGTATTTCGGACTTTGTCGGGGCAAGTATAATGGACTCATTCGGTACCGTGACGCACTTGTGGAAAAATATTACATCGGTAAACTTTATTTTAATCCGGTAAAGTTCTTTTGCACACGACGGAAATTTCCTCATAAAACCTTATAAATTCTCTTTGGATCTTTAATTACGTGAGTTGTATAAAAATAAAATTCATCATAACTGTGGAATATTTTACAAAATGTATCCTAATATAAAATACAATAAGACGTAAATTAATTCTGTTGTGCTGCATACAATTTAATTAAATAGCATTTGTATGTGGTATAACGTTGTTTGTTTTTTGTTAAAGCTGGTTGTGGATTTATTTATAGTAAATCATTAGATATTTAGGCGAGAAAAATATTATTATTATTAGGTGAGAGAAAATTTGTTATAGATAAAATACAAAGGCGCACTGACTTGCCGGTGACGGAGGGCATGGGCGCGTGCGCGAGATGTGCACGCAGGAAGGCGAGGCGCTGTCGCAGCGGCGCGTGCGCAGACACCGCGGCCGGCCCGCCGTTACTGTAGCAGGCGAACGCGTCCCGCGCCATCTGGCAACTCTCGTACAGACTTCCGAGGTTTGTCCACGCCGCCGAGTGTCCCTTGTCTAACTGCACCGCGCAGATGTACGCCTGCAGCGCGTCCATCGGCTGGTTCTGCTGCTGATACAAAACTCTGCACAACAAACAAATTGTCATTAGCAAGGTTGATTTATAGATTAGGTGGCAATTAAGCAAATCCTAGTTAGTGTAACTTACCCTATAGAGCACCAAGTATCGGCATTCCCCTCAGACTTCTCGACCGAGTTTCTGTACGCGATGAAGGCATCGTGCACCTTGCCCTGCGCGGCAAAGCACCGGCCTAGCAGGTAGAGTCCGGCGCCGGAGTCGGGCTCGGCGGCCACAGCGCGCTGCAAGCACCACACGGCGGCCCGCGCACGCGCCGGCGCCTCGCCCAGTGACACGCACCGATGGTACAGCCAACCTGATCGAAAACACATCCTTGATTGAAAGGCTTTAGCACTAAACACTGGAGTTATCAATTTATCTAGAGATTTTGGTCTCAGAAATCAACGATATAGAGATTCGAACTCCAAATCACATAGGGTAAACTATGCTAATAAGATAAAACAAAAGCCATTAAACTTGATAATTTTAAATAAGGAAATATTCCTATTTGCGAAGAAAACTAGGCAGAATCTTAGTGTAGCATTGCTTTCATTTCCGTCCGCTTGATAAAAGATAAAAGGTTGTTAATATGATAATTACAAATATGGAAATTATTCCTATTTACGGGGAAAACTAGTCGGACTTTGTATGCTTTCATTTCCGTCCGTTTGCTTACATTTGCGAAATTTTCTTAAAAAATGAAAGAAAACAAGTTTCTTAGTCACTCGTTTCTCATCCGCGACAAAGTTGTCCGCAAACCAGATCCGGTGGGCGCTATGAACACTCTCATTATGTCATGCCCGGTTCGGTTCGCATCTGCTAGAGTCCGCACAAAATTACTGGTCCGCTTTGACAGCTGACAAGGCAACGTAATTAAGTCTGTTTTAAATCAATACGAGTAATATTGATTGAATAAACCGGATCCCCTGATTATATTGAGTAAACCACTTAAATAGAATTTGCTTATTTAGTCTTTCAGATTGAATATAATCATTTTTGACTTACTGCGGACTTTATGAATGAATGCTAGTCATTTAAGTAGGTAAAGCGGACGTCAAAATGGAGTAATGTATACTTCCGCACGACCAGGCGTATTATGTAACTAGTAGATGTCCTTGTATAATCAGACCACAATAAGATTTACGTGTAACTAGAGTTAGAAGCATTCAAGTATTTAAATAACATCTATTGTTAGAAAGTAAAGAGATACAGTGAAATGGACGTCAAAAATGTATGGCTTTTTATAAGCGTAAACAAGCCTATGTTACACATAAATGTTCGAATGCGTTAGTAGCCCGGGGTGAAAGTATTGTAAAGGACGAGCCGACCGTCTTACACAAGGGCGAAACATTAACGTTAGGTCGAGCACCTCTTTATACTCTGTAGGCTAGACGAGTTTTATGTTATCGCTAGCGTTCAATATGAATTTTAATATTTTAATTCCAAAGGTTTGGAACAAGTTGCCTACGTCAGTTAAACCATCAATTATAACGTGGATAAAAGGATTAAATAGACAATTATTGTACCGTCATACGTCATTACTACTTAAAATTTGGTGGAACTGCGGTTTAGTGCCAGATTGTAAAAGAAAGTGACTCACCTAACTGTCTGCACACGTCTGCTTTCAGCGAGGATGAGAGTTGTGGTTCCTTGAGAAGGCGCTCGTAGGCGTCTCTGGCAGCCTTGCGCAGTCCCCTAGCTTCAAGGAGGTGGGCGGCGTGGAAACTGAGCTCGAGGCGGGTGAAGGTGGCGTCTTGATGCGGGGCGAGGCGCGCACGGCGGAAGTGTGCGGCGGCTGCGGCCCAGTGCCGGCGCGCCTTGAACATGAGCGCCAGCCGCAGGTGGGCGTCCGCCGCGCGCGAGAACCCCGGCGACACGTACAGTGCCATCTGCAGCGCCCGCGTCGCCCTGCCGCAAACCATCCATAGAACACGCCCTTACCACAATACAACATTGAACTCATCGCCGCATATGCTAAGTGCTGTGCCAATCCAAAGCCAGTAATCCTTCACAGATGAATTGTATTACTTAGTCAGATTACTTATAGTTTATTTTGTTACGACACACACAATTGCTATTAATAAAATATCTTAGATGGAGAAAGAATATCTTAAGAACGTATAAATGTAATAAAGCATTACATGGACTATCACAGTTAACTTCTTTATTTCGCTTGGATTTCTCCAATTGATAAATAGTCACGTGTCTTCATGGAGTGAGAAACTTGGCTTACCATATTTCGTTATGGAGTATACATTGCAACACCGCGGCATCCAATTACCGGACAAGTGGAAATTGAAACGGAATGCTTTAATGTTCTACATTCGCTCAATGCTATGTGTCAAGTACATACAAACTTCGCGTAACTTCATGTCAAAAGATATTCACAACTGCCATTCATTAGGCAATAGTATAGATGTAGCATGAATGAATCATCTCTATAGCAATTTCTACGAAACTCTAGTCAAATAAAAACTAAATACCGTTCACATTACTTCATTAATAGAGTTATAAATCTCATTTTCAAAACAGGTCTGATTGCATTGTTTGTTTTGTCAATTTATTCATTGAAAACAATAGCACAATCTTAGTGGAGTAGATATACTTTTATATTGTCGTTTTCTCTATTTCTTACAAATATTTATTTCAAAAGTTACACGAAACTATTATTGTATATTTTTTGTCACACTCAATTTCTTTTAAAAGTAATCACAAACTCAAAGCCTTATACAATAACATGAACCCAAAGGTGCACGGAACAAAACAAAATAGCATGAAAGCCTTTTTTTGCTCCATACATAAAATGTTCATAAACGCTATTGGACTGCGCATCGCGCTCACAATAAGTTTTTATGATTTCAGTACAATCCAAAAAGTATATACGGAAAGCTCTTTTGTCGGAAAGACAACGTCTGACAGAATTGTTATGGTCTTTGCAGAGTATTACATAGCTGTAAAAAAATATACGACCGATTGTTTATCCCGAACTAGAGGAAGTCATTCAAGTAGTGAACAGGTAACCGGGGCATAGAAAATATGTTCTGGATTCGACCGCCGAAGTTAGATCGAAGACGTCGACAAAAGGAGCGGCGGGGCTATCGAGCGACGCATCACCGGAGCGTGGCGTCACCGATGCGGCCGCGGGGTCGCTGACCGTCCGAGGCCCGGCATGCAATCGATCGGACGGTGCAACGCAACGTCTAGACAGCGACAGCGATCGCGCTCCCAATACCGAACCAAACGACGAACCGACCGACGACGCACCGCCGCCGCCGCCGAGCCGCCTGCCTTTACCCACCCGCTTTTATTTAGATGACCTCCGCTGACATTTGCGAGCCGAAACAAAGGAGCGAGACAGGTGGCGTCCGGTGTACCGCGATGCCGACAACTAAAATTAAATGATACACACACACTCGTTGCTACACTCGGCACACTCATGTGCCAGCGATCCGAAGAGCGCTTTCACCCGCGCGGTCCGCAACGCCATGATACGCCCAATATAATTTCTTACTCGCATTCATCGCCCGAAGAAAGCCGCCCGTCAGTGATTGTCAATCGTCACGCAATATTTAAAAGTCGCAACAAAACCCTGGCAACGTAATCAACTTCCCCTTATATTCGAAGCCATATCAAAGACAAACTTAAAGGACTTTCGTTATTTGATAACTCTCATTGGTATTTTCGTACCGTTCAAAATTATACATTTTATAATTATGTAATATAGGTATCACGAAATATGCCGTAGCTGTTTAATTTATATCATGTTTATATCGGTATACATTGAAATCGTATCAAATAACATTATCATTTTTAACGAGCTGTCGTGTTGTCGCTTCACAGGAACATTGGCTGCGATAAGCGCAGTGACAGCACGAGGCGGAGTTTTGAGGGCGATAACTGTTGGTAAACAAATATTATTTCACTTTAAAAAACTGGGGCGGATAACGTTATTATCAACACAAAGAATACTAATAAAGCAGAAATATATTTACATATATATTTGCTTATCTCGAACCTTTAAAAATGCAACAAAATATATAAACGCTCAGAATCTTCCTTACATAAATAAATAGAACAAAGTAAAATTCGTTTGGAGAATTGCAAGAAATAAGATTAGAATGTAGGTATCTTCGACTTTTAAGCCAGTTGAATACTTTTATAATTCTAAACAATTTAATGTAGGACTCCCTACCTGCCCGAGGACGCAAGCACTGAGCCCCATTATTACCGGAGCCAGGTAACAAAATTTGGGTACAACCCTATTTATACATTCGGAGCCATCTTTCCACCGGTCGCTATACAAATCCGAAGCGGAAAATAAACAATACGCATGCATATTGAGCACACGAACATCTGCTGTCCCGATATTAATACCGCACGGCGGAATGAAATCGAGGTTTTGCTACGCTCGACCGTGACGGCGGAAATACATGTTATGTGTATTGCGGCTCCTAGAAAGCGCTTAATGAATGAGGAAGTGCGGAGCTCGTGGGCAATTCAGTTTAGTAATATAGCGAGACTTAGCGCGGTCTGTGGCGGGACGGAAGAAATAATGAGGAGGGAGGGGAGAGAGGCCAGAGTTTGTGTTGGATTAGAGTGCGGGAGGAGTAAGGCACCGGCGTGAGGCAGCTCAGCGTGACCTAGTTATCGCACTCGCGCCGGCTCAAGGACGGATCGGGCGCTATTTATAGAGTTCATTCGTCGTTCGTCATAGCATCGCATTCACTTTACATAACTGGAGTGAGTGGTTGCTAGGTGCGCCGGCACGTGGCTACGGCGCGACGCTCGATACCGCGCAAAGAGTCGCCCGACTCTTTCCCACGGCTGCCGCGTCGCTCCGCCGGGGTGAGGGGGGCGCCGAGCTTGCAATAATAATAACCCACTTCCCCATTAGCACGAGGGATGCTCGAGATTGACCAGGTCACGCCGGCGACCGAGGTCAATGTTGTTGATGCCGTGTTCCAAGAAAGCTTTACGAATATACAATTTTATATTGAAAACAATCTATGACATCATAGCTTCGCAATCATTATTTGAAACCTAACCATCTCCCGTGTTAAATCATGGTAACATTCTATCACATATATGTTGAAATTAAAAATCACATGTAGTATTATATTATTGTTATGAAAAGTTAGGGATACTTTTAAATAAATCTTAATTTAATTAATACGACAATTACATATAAAAGACAAAGAGAAGAGATAATATCAACTGTCAGTCGTGTTGCACTCGCGACTCATCCGGCTGCGTTATATCACGGCCTTGACGTATACATGTATGCAATATGCTGGCGTGCTGTGCGTGCAGCGTGCCTGCGTGCTGCATTATAAATCTACGACGATTTGTGTTTACAACGCCAGCACATCGACGATACGCATTTATGCCCGACCAAAGCATTTCTAATGCAATACTATTGTTTTAAAAACTTGTTCACATGAAATACAATTAACATGCGTTCAAAATATAACAAATAAGTTTGTTAAACATTGTGTTATGACATTATTATATTAATATTCGAATTATAATGCTTGTAATATAATTTGCATTCAGGAATGTTTTAAAATCGAGGTAATTCTTTAGTAGTCATTATCCACAAAAAAAATCCGGAACTAAAAGAATCGTATAAAATTATTTCTTATTCGTCTTACATTTACTGATCATTTAAATAACTAAATACCATTGTAGAAACAAACACAAAGATTTAAGGTTAGAAGGTACAAAGCGACAGGAATGTTACAAGTCCCAATAAGCTATAGACGAAAAGACTTAGCGTTGCGTGTTGCACAAAATTGATAATGAGCGGGCGAGGGCTCTTTTATCGCTGGCGTCATTGCTAGCTGACCCACTTTCGTCCAATCCATGTTACTACTTATGTATACTATACGTAGCATACAATCCACGCGGCGTTCAACGTTTTAGATATTAGAATGCATATATTGATATCAAAATACCATAATATTGTTGTTTTAGTTTTATAGATGATTAATAATACTTCAAACCTTAATTATGGTGAACTAAACTTACATATTGTCAATAGAAGAAAAATGAATTATAAGAAATTAGTATTCCTCTTTTCAAATATCTTGGGAGCTCAAGGTCATCGACGAGCTGCAAAATGCCCTCCCCCCGCATCCCGCTACGCCCCGCTACACCTAAAATTATGTTCTGCGCAGCGACTTGCGTGAAGTTAAGAGCCGCCATTGGAAAATGTATAGGTAATAGTCAATTACATTATTTTATTTGTGAATTAATATAAAACAATAACGAATACGAAACGGACGGAAAAAATTAAATTGAATTGGAAATAAAGCGAACTGTCTCGCAGGTCATATTATTTTTAGCTCGAAGGTCTATAGATGCGATGTCATTGCATAAATGAAAGATAAATTTGTTTGTCACTTCATAAACTACTCAACAAAAAAAAAGGTGGTCCAGGCGTGAATCCTGAATTAATTCTGATTCCTTACGATAAACAAGCTCAAAAAAATCTTTTAACCTTCAAAACCTTTTTATGAAGAAGAAAACTGAAGTAGCCTGATATAAAATTACTTTAGGTATCAAATAGTACAATCAACATACAACATATATGACATTTGCGTAGTGTTGAATCCAATGACAAAGGAAACGAAGCGGGGTATCGTTAGATAAGCCGGTTATTCCACTGTGGCTCGGCTCGGGGCGAGCGGCCATGGCGTGGCACGTATGGCCCATCCTTACGGTACTCCGGACCTGTACCATGCCTGTACTATGAATACATTATACCTGCTACATAGACGCTTGAGAAAATTACAAGAGAACATTAACTGTATAGAATATCTTAATATCATTTTATGAAAAAATTACTTCTATAAAACATAACACGCACGTTTTATCAAAAGAAAATTAGAATAAATATTTTAATTTAA